TTGGGAAGATCTGCTGGAGAAGGGATAGGCTCCCCACCCCTGTATTCTTGGGCTTCCCTTGTGGCTCATTTGGTAAAGAATCTGCCTGCAATGCAGGAGACCTGGTTTCAATCCCTGGGTTGGGAAGATCCCCTGGAGAAGGGAAAGGCTACCCACTCCAGTATTCTGGCCTAGACAGCTCCATGGTCTGTACAGTCCATGCGGTCACAAAGAGTCTGACATGACCGAGTGACTTTCACTTTCACTTTTGATTTAATTAAAGAACTCTCCATGTTAGAAATTTTATTTCTATTTTACATGTGAAGATATGGTCTTCAGATTCTGTTTTTTTTTTCTGCTTCCTAAACACATCCTCTTACTAGCTGTCAAAACAGTCTAGGATCCCAGGGAGGCCAATGAGAAGTGCTAACGAATGCCTTCAAGGCAGCATGGTGTAGATAGGGTGTGGAAATTGGCCCCAGATTTATCTGGGTTTGAATCCCAGTGTCACTACTAGTAAGCAAATTTGACACTCATTCACAGAGCTATACAAATATTTCAGATGATCATTGGTTTCATTGTCTATGAAATGAATGTAATAACTTCATGTATGTAAAGATGGGCTTCCCAGATGGTACAGAGGTAAAGAATGTGCCTTTCATTGTAGAAGAGGCAAGAGACTCAAGTTCAGTCCCTGGGCTGGGAAGATCCCCTGGAGAAGGAAATAACTGCCCATTCCAGTATTCTTGCCTGGAGAAATCATGGACAGAGGACCCTTGTGGCCTACACTCCATGGGACCGCAAAGAGGTGGACCCTATGGGCACACTCCAACAGAAAAGTGTAGGATGATGTTAAGTTGAGAACACTCACATGGGTGTTAAACAGTAAAACTGGGATTTTCCTTCTCCCAAACTCCACAATGCAAGATGTGCACATGTAGTGTTTGACATCAGACTGAGGCCTGAGACTGGAGATAGACGCAGGAGCAGACAGTGGGCAGGGGGCAGGGGTTACCTGGGGAGTCTTATGTAATGGAGACATATAAATGCGGATACTTAAATCATTGCTTACTTTGCTTGGAGTCAAATTGCCTGTAGGCCATTAAAAAATGTTTATTTTTTGAATTAATATTTAACTGTTACTGAAGTGTAGTTGATTTGCAATGTTGTGTTAATCTCAGGTGTACAGCAGAGTGACTCAGTGTTACATGTATGTGTCTCCATACATATCCACGGGCTTCCCTGGGCTTTCCTTCCACAGCAAAGAATCCTCCTGCCAATGCAGGAGATGAGGATTCAAGTCCTGGGTGGGGAAGGTGCCCTAGAGAAAGAAATGGTAACCACTGGTAACCACTAGTTTGGTCTCTCTATCTATGAGTCTGCTTCTTTCTTGTTACATTCACTAGTTTGTTGTTACTGATATTCCGCATACAAGGGATATCATTCAGTATCTGTCTTTCTCTGATTTATTTCACTGACATAATACGTTCCAAATCTATCCATGTTGCTGCAAATGGCATATTTTAATTTTTATGGATGAGTAGTATTCTATTGTATGTCTGTGAATATACACACACACACACACACACATATAACATCTTTATCAATTCATTGGTTGTTGGATACTTAGGTTACTTTCATATCTTGGCAGCTGTAAATAATACTTCTTTGAACAGTGGTCTTCATGTACTTTTTTGAAACAATGGTTTTGGTTTTCTTCAATACATACTCAGAAGTAGAACTACTAGATCATATGGTAGCTCTAGAGGAACCTTTATACTGTTCTGTAGTGTCTGTTGCAATCTGCACCCCCACCAACAGTGTGGGAGGATTTGCTTTTCTCAATATCCTCACCAACATTTGTTATTTGTGTACCTCATTGTTTGTTTTTTTTAAAAATCTGCATTTCCCTGATGATTAAGGATGCTGAGCATCTTTTCATGTGCTGCTATTGAGTGTATTTAAACTGATATGTACAGGTTTAAATCTTAACAGCTATGCAATTTCTTTTAAATTTCTCCCACTTAGATGTGGGTCCAGGCCCTTTCCTTTAACAAGAGCTGATACAAAGTGATGAGGACTTACTTACCACTGACAGATATCTGGGAAATGACGCTGTGTAATGTCCACAGTTAAGCCTGAAAAGGCCATGAGTCACTCAGGTCAATCTCCTGTTGGAGGCCTCCACAACCCACAATGAGCTCTGCAGTCCTGCCTTCTAGGAGGAAGCCGAGGCCTCGTGGGGTGGCTTCCTGAAGCTCCTCCAGCAAACCCAGCTTCAGCTGCAGACGTGGCAGTGACATCACCTCCAGAGGAGTTCAACCTCTAGTGTTAGTGTCAGCTCCAACTGGTGAGTCTCCTCTCCTGAGACCCCAACATCCTAGAGCAGAAAGAGCTACCCCCACTGCACCCTGTCTGAATTTCTCACCTTGGGACCAAAGTGTAGGTATCATGTGCCATGACATGGGGATTAGTTTATGAAAATATTTTATATTAAAAGCAACGAGAAAACACACTTGTGGAAAATTTACAGGTTACAACAGAACATACATTGAAATCTCTTTCTTCCCTATTCTGTAGCCTTCTAGATGCCATCTCTGGAAGTAATGTTATTTTCCCATATTTATTAATGGAATTATCACATAGCACTGACACTCTGACACGAATGTTTCTAAGAGCTTTACTCATTTTTCTTCATTCACCATGAGTTCTCAGGTGGTTAGCTGGTAGGGAAGTCTTCTGCTTCATTCTGATTTCCTTCCAAAACTGGGTGTCTGAACTGCTGTCCTTTATTCCTTTTTGAATTATATTCCTGCAATATATTTGAAAATGGAATCCCTAGGGATTTGCCTGGCAGTCTAGTGGTTAGGATTTCCCATTCCAAAGTGGGGGGAGTGTGTTGTGGGTTCAATATCTGGTCGAGAACTAATATCCCACAGGCCTGGGAGCCAAAAATCTGAAAACAACAACAACTAAGCAACATTGTAACAAATTCAATACATTACAAGAAAAATCTTATTAAAAAAGAAATAGATTCCCTAATTCTTTATTTTAATTTTATTCCTCCATTTCCTTATTTACACACACACACACACATATTCCATCAAGCTGGGAAGCACTAAAATTGTTCATTTAGAATAATAATATTACCTGTTATTTTCCACCCTTGGTTCATATCTCAGTTGCATAATCCTTGGAAATAATTTGACACCATCTTAATTATTGTTTTACTTCATCAAGGACCCACTTAATCTGTTAGTTCAGATATTTGGAGGTGAGGTGAGTCAGCAATGAAGGGATTCCCTGCTGGCTTACACAATAAAGAATCTACCTTCAGTGCAAGAGACACAGGTTTGATCCCCGGGTTGGGAAGACCCCCTGGAGAAGGGAATGGCTACCCACTCCAGTATTGTTGCCTGGAGAATCCCATGGACAGAACAGACTGGCTGGATAGAGTCCACTGAGATGCAAAGAACCCAGCCTGATTGAGTGACTAACACTTTCACACTTTTATTTATTTATTTTTTTCAGGAATGATAAGGCTTTGTACTACACCTGGGCTTCCCAGATGGCTCAGTGGTAAAGAATCCGCCTGCCAATGCAGGAGACACAGGAGACAAGAGTTCCATCCCTGGGTTGGGAAGAACCCCTGGAAAGGAAATGGCAACCCACTCCAGTATTCTTGCCTTGAAAATCCCGTGAACAGAGGAACCTGGTGGGCTACAGTCCATGGGGTTTCAAAGAGTCAGATGCTATTGAACACAGAGGTACACACACACAATACAGGATTCCATACCTTGTAAGGGCACCTAATTTGTTTTAAATGGGGCAACTCTTGGAGAAGGACGTGGCAACCCACTCCAGTATTCTTGCCTGGAAGATCCCATGGATGGAGGAGCCTGGTAGGCTACAGGCCATGCAGCTGCAAAGAGTTGGACATGACTGAGCGACTTCACTTTCACTTTTTCATCTTTCTCATCTTTCTCTTAAAAGTTTTCACTTCTATGTTTTAGGGTGCTGGTCACTTAACATCCTATAGCCACTGTCCATGACCATGGGAATGGGGAGTGATTAGGTGTTGAAATATGACCCAGAACACACATTTAATCCTAGAGTTTTGGATTGTGTAAAATTCTTCATGTAGAAAGACAGTAACTACACTTTCACCTAACCTACAGGTGAAAACACACTGAATTGTTTTTTATTACTTGTTCAGTGAATAGCCAGGCTTTACACACAATAACAGATACATTGTTAAATGAATTGGCAGAGATTGAGAGCTAAGAAAGCCTGTACAGTTAGGTGCATACAGAGAAAAGGAAGTAATATATGTAGAGAGGGAGAGAAGGATTTACATAATTTGATAATTATATGCATTTTACAATAAGAATATGACATTTGCAATTGAATTTCCATTAATGCAAGCTTTTATTTCAACTTGAACATATTTTAAATTATTTGATCTAGAAATATCTGGTTACTTAGAAACCTTAGAAATGACTGGAAATGATATATGTACAGGAATAGAATTCATTTTACTGTCAACGTGTTATCCTTGTTCCTCTTCACCCTGAGATGTTCACAAACAACTATATTTGGGGGGCAGGGCTTTTTCTCTCATATACATTATTTTCTTAATCAGAGAGTAATCTGTGAACCTGGGATTCAGTTTTTGAAATAAAATATTTGCTTTGGAAAGCCCAGTTTGTCCATAGAAACGCACTTTCTGGACAGTAGCAGTTGGACTCATCCTGTGCAGAGTCCAGTTCACTCGGAAAGTTCTGTGACAAATCATCTCCACTGCAGTGTGATAATGCACGTTCTGCACCAGGTGTCGCTTTGTGAGCTGAGAGGTTCACATGTGGTGTCAAGTGAGAAGAGCTCGGTAGAGGGGGTGGGGTGGGATGGGGGAGTGGGAGCTGGAAACCAGAGCTTCGAGGGTTAGGGGCCGAAAGGGCCTCCGGCAGGTTGGGGCCCTAGAACTGAGAGATCCACCTCCGACCCTTAAACCAGAGACTCAGCCACCAGAGAAACGTCGGAGAACAATTGAGGATTTCAACAAATTTTGCAGTTTTGTTTTGGCCTATGCAGGTTACATTCCCCCTAGCAAGGAGGAAAGTGACTGGCCAGCCTCCGGCTCCAGCTCTCCATTGCGAGGTGAGAGTGCGGCAGATAGCGATGGCTGGGACTCAGCCCCCTCAGATCTCAGAACCATCCAGACCTTTGTTAAGAAAGCAAAGTCATCCAAGAGAAGGGCGGCTCAAGCAGGTCCCACCCAGCCAGGACCCCCAAGGTCCACTTTCCCTCGTCTGCAGGCCCCTGACAGTGCCACTTTGCTGGAGAAGATGAAACTCAAGGACTCTCTCTTTGATCTAGATGGGCCCAAAATGGCATCTCCACTGTCCCCCACGTCCCTGACACATGCCTCCCGGCCCCCTGCTGCTCTCACCCCAGTGCCCCTTTCCCAGGGGGACCTCTCCCAGCCTCCTCGAAAGAAGGACCGAAAGAACCGAAAGTTGGGGCCAGGAGGGGGGACAAGCTTTGGGGTACTTCGGAGGCCCCGCCCAGCCCCTGGGGATGGGGAAAAGAGGTCTCGAATCAAGAAGAGCAAGAAGCGGAAGTTGAAAAAGGCAGAACAGGGGGATAGACTCCCACCTCCTGGGCCTCCCCGGGCACCCCCCAGCGATACAGACTCTGAAGAGGAGGAGGAGGAAGAGGAGGAGGAGGAGGAGGAGGAAGAGATGGCAGCAGTGGTAGGAGGGGAAGCCCCAGCCCCTGTGCTACCAACACCTGAGGCTCCTAGACCCCCTGCCACAGTGCACCCCGAAGGAGCCCCTCCCACTGACGGTGAAAGCAAGGAGGTGGGCAGCACTGAAACAAGCCAAGATGGAGATGCCAGCTCCAGTGAAGGCGAGATGCGGGTCATGGATGAGGACATCATGGTAGAATCAGGTGATGATTCATGGGATCTGATCACGTGTTACTGCCGAAAGCCCTTTGCAGGCCGGCCCATGATTGAGTGCAGCCTGTGTGGGACGTGGATCCACCTCTCCTGTGCTAAGATTAAGAAGACCAATGTCCCTGACTTCTTTTACTGCCAGAAATGCAAGGAACTGCGGCCAGAGGCCCGGCGATTAGGGGGGCCTCCGAAATCTGGAGAACCCTGACACATGCCATCTCCAGGCTGGAACTTCAATTGGAAACGTGACTTGGGAACTGAGCTTCAGGGTCAACATGTCCCCTGAAGCTGGGATGTTGTCCCACTTCGAGGCAGAAATTCCCAAGGGAGACTGGTTTGGAAATGAGTGGTTTTCCTGCCCTTTCCTTCCCACCTTGTGGACTTGAACTTGGACCCATTGCAGTTGTGGGTGGGAGGCTCTCTGGGTCCCTAGACACTTGAACTGTCCCTGCCACTGCTCAGTTTCTGGGCCAGGGTTGGAACTGGGATGGAGTGGGACAGTTGTCTATAAAACTCTAGTGTAAATATAGCACTCCCCTCCCTCATCTTTTCTTCTATCTCACTCCCCATTTATTCTACACCGGTTGTATTTTTAATTTTGGGCTTCCCCTTTTGAGCGTGGCAGCTCAGTGGTGGAGTGCCAACCAGAGCTTGGCCGAGGGAGGAAGGAAAACAGAAAGGTGATGATTCCTCACCTCTTGTTTTTAATAATACTGGCCAGCTGTTTGTACAGACAGCCTGCGTGTTGTAAATAAAGCAGAGTGGGCTCTTCAAAAAAAAAAAAAAAAAAAAAAGAGAAGAGCTCACCTTCACCCTTGAGAGTGAGAATGGGCAACCTGAACTATTGCTCTGGAGGTAGGTTCCTACTCAGCCTTGCAGGCTGTTTCTTTGGATGGGTTGCTTAACTTTTACTGACTTGTTTCCTCCTTTGTTTCATTTCCATCACTTTACAGAGATATCAATGTATTTTATAGTTTTGTTTGATTCCTTAATCTATATTCTTTGGCTCTTCTGTCATATGGCTGCCTTAAATATCTTCCTAAATTAGAAAAATGTACAATTTCCTAGTGACAGTTTTGTACACACTCTACCAGAGAACAGATAGAAAGAACTGAAGCAGGAGAACCATGAGGTCCCCCAACAGTGGACATTGCCCAAAAAGGGAATTGCAGCTCAGTAGACAGGAAGGTCGTAGGTCTCTATCACTGAAAGCTGACATGCATTTAGTGTTTCTTTTTCCCCATCTGTTAGTTTATCATTAGTTTATATGCAGAAGCTGTATCTCATTTTTTTTCCTGCCCCTCTCCTTTGCTCTCCTTCATCCAGCAAAGAGAATGATTCAATGGCAGCTCAGTCCATAGTTACTAACCTCCCACATGCATACATTCCACCCCGTGTCCCCATCAAAAAAAAAAAAAAGAAAGAAAGAAAAACAGAACACTCAAGGATTGGTGAGAAGCCTCAGCAGTGTCCTGACAGCTGCTCTGGGTCTCACTAGTTCCCCAGGAGGACCTGGTGGAGGAACTGAGTGCCCTGAAGGTATGGTCACCTCTCTTTATCTGGGAAATGACCCTTGCTTCACTTCTTTCTTTTTTATTCAGTTGAATACAATTATAGCAGTCTGACAATGTACATTATCACTGATGTATACAGTTTACTTGGTTGCTGGAATATTGAAGGTATATCAATTATCAACACAGACCTGATTCAAAAGGATATTTTAAAACAAAAGCATCAGTTATCTACTGTGTAACAGTAGATACTTTCCTCAGCAGAAATTTTTCCTCTTTGAAAAAGAATTTTGTAATTGTTGGCCAAATGGAAACTGAGAGATCTTATGTGAAATAGGCCACCCTTTTCAGCAGAGGAGCCTTTCTATTTTCTTTTGGGGACATTGACTTAAGGAGTTTTAGTTTGCTGAGAAGAAAAATCAGAGCACTGAAGACTTAGTACAGAGAATCAAAGATGCTGATACCCTCACTCTGTTTTCTTCTCTCTCATCACAGGTTTGTGAAACAGCCAAAGAGATTTCTTCATATTCAGGGATATACATCCCTCTGCTCAGATACAATCTAATTGATGAAGGTAGGGCTCTTTGCTGCCTCAATTTGGGGAGGAGACCTGAATTTGGGTTCTTACAGGTGGTGAGACGAAGAGATTGACCTCCCAGAAAAACAGTGCTGGCCCAGTTCTAGTGTCTCCAGAAGCAACTGCATCATTTAGATGGTGTGGGATTGTGTGAAGGAAGGTGTTTGTAGGTGGGCATGTGTTGAAACCGCATAGTATGATTTGTGAATCTGCCTGTCTGTGTATTTCCTCAGGAGATATTTCCTCTTAGACAGTAAAGCTGTCAAAAATTTTTCTTTGCAAAAAAGTCTCATTAACACTGCACCGTCTCTGCACATTCCCTCTTATGCCATCAGCATAGCTCTTCCCCAGGTTCGGTTCGTGTTCCCATTAGTTGACTAGAGATGGTGCAGAGATTGATGTTCTCAGCTTTTGATCTCTTAAGTGGAAAAGTCAAACTGAAAACCCAGGGCTGGGTCTGAGTATGAATGCTCTGGACCCCTGACCTGCCTGTGTCAGTGAGACGAGTGATCCTCAGTCATGGAGCAACAGGTCCCTGCTCCATGTTCATGCCTGGAGGTACTAGTAGCTCCAGAGATCCAGACCCTGCCCTTCATTAAAGGTGGCCTCTGTGGTCACAGAAGCCAGGGCAGCCACTAGGGGGATTAATGACTGACTTCGGCACAGGCTTTAGTGTGAAAGTTACCTCTGGACCCTCATCCTTCTGACAGCTCACAGAGAGTTGTGGAGCTTCACTGACAATACATCCGTCAGTGCAGTGTCAGAGCTTAAACTAGGGCACACACAGATAAGAATCAGGAAGATGTGTTACTGTATTGGGTAACATTACCATAAGCCTTTCAACTGATGAAAGATCTGCAGTGCACACCCAAGGGGCAGAGGCAACTAAGAACTCAAAGTAAAACTTGATTGTCAGCTTGGTGAGCATGACTCTTGCTGAAAATCTCCTACCTGTGTGGTTTAGAGATGGTCAATGCTTACTCTGTGCTTTTTCTAAGGAGCTGACCCACTAAACAATTGGCCCCTGAGACTATGGACAGCCACTGACTCAGTGGACAGGCACACACTGTATAGAAAACAAACCTTTATAGAAAATATATTATTGATGGTAGCTGTATTTAAATGGTAGGAACTCTATATTATCAAATCTTGTATATTTGATTTTCTTTGAGACAAGTGATTAGTGAATTAATACAATAGCATATTTCTCTCAGGATTGAATTCAGTCCTCTAACAGAGTTTACTTTTAATCAAGTACAAAGTTTCATAGAAAACATGATGTAGTAGCAGCAACTGTGGATCCTGGAGGAAGAATGATCTGGGAAAAATCAGGAGACAGTGACAATTTAGCAGGAGCTCAAAAAAAGCAGGAGGAGTCATGGGTCTCTTTCATCGAACGATAGCATTCATTTTAGAGTTTTCCTTTCATTAGATTGAATATTTCCTTTTGATTAGGTTTCTCTTAGCTAGAGGGCAAAGCTCTGTTTTCATTTCCTTCCTCCTCTACTTTGCTTTCCTTCCTCTGCTGAAGAGAAAGGATGAACACAAATTCAGCTTGTGCTCATTAACCTCCCACAGCCATACACACTGCCCTGTGTCTACACAAAGAGAAAACCCCCGGAATGTGTGCAAAGCAGCCTCACCAGTGTGGTAACAGCTCTTCTGTGTCCCGCTAGATCTAACTGAGGACCTGCCAGTCAACGCCCCTTGTGACAGGACAGAAGAGACTCCGTGTATCTCCAAGGCAAGCTGTTTTGTTTGTTTGTTTTTTCTTGTTTGTGATAGAAATAGTGTTTCATTTCTCTTTCAGTAGAATTGAGTTATGAGTCTTTGAGGGTGTTTGTTCCAGTAAGAGACAGTTCCCTTGGTTGAGATAATGTGGAGTGAGAGTCTTATTATGGACTCATGATGCCTCAGCCCACAGGATATTAAAATTGTTAGCATCCATTATACCCTGTAGAGTACAGAGTTCTCTCTCCTGCAGCAACATTTCCCCCAGGAAAAGAATTCTGCCATTTCCAATGCAAATGGTCTTGGAAGTTCCATCCTCCAGGCACAGGTCTTGCCTTTCATCCTGAGCACCAGTGGTTTGATCTTGCTGAGTTACCTGGATTCCACCACTGTTCCTCATCAGGTTTTCTACTGTCACCAAATGAACCAAAGACTGTTCAACTTTGCGATCTTCTCCTCACAGTGTCTTCTCTTCTGCACTTTCAGGTGGCCCTTCCAGGATGTGAAAGTGGTATGTATTCTAGAATCATTGACTTGGACAGAAAAAGCTCTGTAGATGGGAAATTTGGGACTTTCTCACTGGTTTTAGGGCAGACGCACACTGATTCCAAATTCCAGCTGGGAATGAGTATAGAGGCCCTGGTGGGAAAAAGTAGCTTGCAAGTAGAATAATGTGGCCAATACTGTAGTTCCAGGAAGAAGCTGTATTATGGTTAATAGTATAGCTTTGTGTCCATGGGCCTAGGTGTGCCTCTGTGTGTAATGAACAGTGTGATTCTTTGTGTGTGTGACTTTTTTGTGTTGTGTTTTTCTCTATTTATGTTACCATAAACACCACTGTTACCGGTGTTATCTTCCCCCTTAACATTCCCATCACCATTGTACTGTGCATGAGTATGTGTATAAGAATTAAACAAAGTATACACATTTGCTGTATGATTTGATTTTATAGCAGGAGAAATCCTTTAACCTGGAAGACAAATTAGATCATTACCCAGGAAAATATTTACAGGATTTTTAAAACTTTTATAAATATTTTTATTGTCTCTGCTAGGTCCTCATTGCTACACAGGCTTTTCTCAACTCATGGAGAATGAGGGCAACGCTATTGCTGTGATGCATAGACATCACTTTGGAGGCTTGTTTTTTTGCAGAATGTGAGTTCTAGGACTCTCGGGCTTCAGTGGTTTTGGCACGTGGACTCAGTAGCTGCGGCTCTTGGGCCCTAGGGCACAGGATCAGTAGTTGTGGTTCACTAGCTTAATTGCTCCAGGGCATGTGGAATCATTCCAGACCAGGGATTGAGCCTGTATCTCCTGCATTGGCAGGTAGATTCTTAAACACTGAGCCACCAGGGAAGCCCTACAGGCTTCTTAATGAACAAAACTG